ATACTTTTCGTGAAAAATCCTGTAAAACTGTCAAACAGCAAAATTACTCTCTGAAGTGAGAGTAAAAAGTGAGTAACAACAAAAAGTACGGGAACAAAAAAAAACCATTATTCCTGTAAAAACGTCAACCGGCGATTGCTTGACACTTTTCATGATTTTACCAGAAGAAAGAGTTCGGGTAAAATCTTGCAACTTCATTCTCTCCACAACTCTCCAAAAGTCGCTCTCATTTACAGGATTTTGGAGTACGGGAACATTCTTCCTGCAACTTCCTGCAAGTTCGTGTAAATCCTGTAAGTTCATGGAGTACTGGATCAGAGCTACATTTTGTTTATGGATACATTTTGCAAAGTAGTGGTTTGCGGAATATGCCAGCAGTGTTGCCTTTTTGTCCATGCAATTCTATATATTTTTCCCGTTTTTCGTTTTAGGTTATCCCGTTTTTTCACCTTTCGTTAAGCGACCGGAAGGAACTAAGTCATAAATAGCAAACAGCGAAGTGGGGAATCTATGATCATTGCATCTACTTGTGCGTTATTTGTACATGTCATTCGTGTGCAACTGTGATGCAATTTTTGAATCACTGAACACTGTTTTCAATAGCACTGATAAGTGATCAAATGCAGAAAATGCAATATTGTGCTTCGCCGCAAACGCACTTTTTTTAGTTTTGTATAAAGTTTGAAGTTTGGGTGTCAAATTAAAGCGCTTGGCCTGTAGATGTGCAAACTGGTTTTACTTTTTCGAACAGAGTTGCCACCTGTAGAACAATTGAATTCAAATTATTTAATCAGCACTGCCATAATAACCGCATCGATCGTTCGATTTTCCTAAATGAGATGTCAACTTAAAATTCTGGGACTGCAAATATGTAATAAGGTGTTGGTTTTTTGAAAAAAGTTGCCACCTTTTAACGAATTATATTCAAATTATCTAAAAGAAAATCAAATGTTACAAGCTAGGTATCAATGGAAATGGTTTTTGAAGATCTTTCTTCCTTAACCTAACTTCAGGAGGGTTGCCACCTGTTTAAAAAATCAAATTAAATTTAAATTAAGGAAATTAATTAGAAAAAAAATTTGTCAGCATATGAGTGCCAAACGAAAGGGGGCTCAGAAGGTAGCAGTTTGAAATTATTTTGATGTGGGTGTCAAATTTAGTTAACTTATCCAAAAGTTATATGAAATGTCAAAATATCCATGTCAAACGGAAGAGTGTTGAGCAGGCTTTGCCACCTGTCTAAAAATGTATTTCAAATTATTAAATAAGTTAAATGCATTATTAAAAGGGTATGGTATGGGTTTGAATTTTTTTTTTTTCTGAACTATATTTAGCGGGGTCGCCACATGTTTAAAAAATAAAATTCAATTTAATTCTCAGTTAATTAAAGTATGTTTCGCAATGTTAGAGGGAGAAAATTTAAGAATATCTTAGCGCGAAATTGCTTTTGAAGAGGGGTGCCACCTGTTCAAAAATTCGAATTTAATTAACTTTTACGCAAGTTATTTGAAATACATATGAAGCGAAGGGTGTTAAAAAGTTAAAAAAGTTTGAACATTTAGAATATTTAAAGAGGGTTTCCACGCATTTATAAAGTGACATTCAAATTATTTAAGAAGTGGGATGAATTATTAAAAGATGGGTATCATAGAAATAATTTTGAAAAGGCTTTATGGAGGATTGACACCTGTTTAAAAACGCCAACTCAACTTAAATTAGGGCAATTACCTAATTCAAATATGTATTAAAATATGGATGTATATATTGACGTCAAACGAAAGGGTGTTAAGAAGTCTTTAGTTTGAACACTGGAAATATTTTTTGAGTGTTTGAAGAGGGTTTTCACCTGTTCAAAAAAGGCTTTGTTTCTGAAATATATTTAGGAGGGTTGCCATGCATTTTATAAGCTGCATTCAAATTATTTAACAAGTTAAATAAGTTAAATGATGGATATCAATCGAAATGGGGTTGAAAAGGCTTTCATTTCATGTAGGTTTTGCAATTCACTTCCGAGTGAATTTAAACCAAATTCGCTACGAGCTCAAATTGAACTTTGTATAAATTGTATAACATGAAAAATAAAAACCTTGCCCTGTAGATGTGCGATAAGGTTTTATTTTTTGAAATTAGAAACTTTTTATCGGTACAGGGTGATTTAAAATTTGATAATAGTAAAAACCTACTATGCGACTCGAATCGCTTATTGGTTAGATTCCAGAAGATCACAGGTTGTTAAAATGTTAACACAAATTTTTGTTTCATATTACAAACCAAGCTATGAAAAATCATCTGGGAAGTGTAGAATGGAAGCGTATGTGAACGAAAAAGCCGCCAAATACATATCTGTGTAAAGTAAACAAGCCCCCGCTGCATACATTTTTCTATAGTACCGAACCAGTTCTAAATTCGTCACCTTAGACATAGAGTTCTAATGGAAGAAGTGAAATAAAATAGTTTTTAAATGAACCACATTTCGCTGATTTTGAACTGGCCGGAATCTACATAGTTACTATCGGACTTTTTCGTTTTTAGCGATAAAGATCTAGTATGGAACTGGAAATTTGATTCACTAGTTCGCGGTTTCCCTGCAGGGTTGCATTGTGTATATTTGAGAAAGAATATATTTTCGCAGCTATATGCAGGCAAGTGTACATATGAGCAAAATCGTGGCACACTTATCGCAGATAATGCATTATCTTCCGTTTTGCGTAAAGACCCGGATTCCATCGCAAAACTGTACTTAAATGAGAACTTAAAAAAGATACACTAAAAAAAGTAAAAATAACAACTCGTGCTCGGGGCACCGAAATTGCGCATATAGAAACTGTGCATTTAGACATTATTTCGGTTTTCTAACGAAAGTGTGCATATGGATAATTTCGTTTTTTCTAATATGAATTATTTACTTCTACTTAGTAAGAGTTTTAATCCCTAAGCGCGGCTGAAAGCCGCCTACGCAGAAAGAAGTTCTGCGCAAAAATACTTCCGGTCCCCTTTTCCGGCAACACAGAAAGGAGAGTTCTACTTAGTAAGGGTTATAATCCCTAAGCGCGGCCGAAGGCCGCCTACGCAGAAAGAAGTTCGTTTTCATGTATGCATTATTTCGGTTTTTTTCATATGCATTATTTCGTATGCACAGTTTCCATATGCACAATTTCAGGGTGCCCTCGTGCTCATATGTATATATACCCGTAGTTGTGTATGTAACGTATTCGCCCCGTAGCCACCACACGCAGTAAGCTACCACGTTTACTCGCGCCTTAACTCAAAAGCAGGGACAGTAATCATTATGAGTTAAGGCATCTAATACCGGGATTCGGGATCCCGAATCCCGGGAGTCCCGGGCCCTTTTTGAAGTCCCGAAATCCCGGGATCAAGCCCTCAACAAGTTAGTTGAACTTTATGCTGTTTTCATTAAAATCGGCCTCAAGCTAAACAAAACTGTTGAATATAACTGTTATAAGGCCATAAATGAAAAAATCAAATAATTCAACAAATCGTAAAATTTCAAAATAGCTGCGGCAGATATTTTGCATATTTTTTTGGAATTCGGTGGCACACTCTTGAAACTTCACAGATATGTTTTGTTTGTTGCCAATGTCCATTGGCATTGATATAAATATTATATTTTAAAACTTGCCAAAGTTATTAAAAAAAAAAAACAATTATGATGAATTCGAACGGAAATGAAAAAATTAGTAATTTCGGTACTTTTTCGCCAAAATAAACGTTTTAAGGCAAACATTTTTCAAATACTTGATTTATTTTTTATTCTAATTGTTTCTGGTACTCCATTGATTGAAATATATGCAAGAAGTGGCACCAAAAAACAACTCGTAAGAACATTGAATTAATATACATATTTGTTTTATTCCACTTAAACATAAAAACCGCATACAATTGAATATCAGTTACTACGAGTACCCGGTCGGACTTGGTTGCTTCAAAAATGTACTTCTAGCGCGGTTCTTTTTTTCCAGTCAGAAGTGAGTCCCCCCAAAACAGGCGCGAAACACAGCAAGAATGATTATTTAAGAAGGCAATTTCGCATGAGGTGGTTGTTGTTGGTTTGCAGAGCTTTGTAGAGCTTTTATTCTCGTTCGTATTTATTTTCCGTCAAAGCATTACGAAATACTAACTTAAGCAGTGAAGTTTCCACGACCTACAGATTTTTAGCCTTCCATAGAAGTGAGAAAAGAATGTACTCATTTTTTTTTATGTAGATTTCTTGCAATTTTTCCTACAGAGCTAAAATGAGCTTCGAATTTCTCGTGAAAAAAAAAACAGTACCCTAAAAGGCATTCTTGGGGAACCATATTCTGCAAGGTCCGACTGGGTAATTGGCTTAGATAGTAGAGATGTAATCCCTGTGTCAAAAGTTATATGGGAAGTCGTTTATACAAATTGCGTAAATTTAAGCAGCGAATTCAATGCCTAAACAAAGGAGGTGTTAACTAAAAATAAAAATGCTTAAATCTAACTTACCTTAATTTTTGCCGAAAATATTCAGCATTTCTACATACATAAATGAGACTCTATGAGAATTTATTTACTTATCTATATAGTATTTAATGTTTACTTGTTCTTGACATTTTATTTTATTCGGTGTTTTCCTGTAGCACTGCATGTAGACTCTTAAATTTACATGTTTTATAAATAAGTTTGCATGTTTAGTCAAATAACGGTAATGATTCAGTGGATATGCTAATCAAATTCCTTTTAGCCCAGAGAGCTTTGTACGCGTAGTCAAAGTTTGATTATTGAAACGCCCATATCTGTAAAATGTTGAAAATTAAATAAATTTTATGCGTCCTGTCCCCTATTTCGAGACAAAATTTTTAATGGTTTTATCCAGGAATTCTCTTTTACAAACCTTTCGAAAGTTTCGAACGACAATCGAGCCTTTTTTCATTTAGGACTCTTAGGTAAAATAAATAATACATTTAAGGTTAGTTTCTATTCTTCAATTAACATTAAACAGACCGAACGATGTTGGAAATTTATAATGCTTTTTTATTTGGGGAACTTTTTGAAAATTTATCTAATCTATTGAATGAATCCTTCGTTGCCAGTTGAGCGCTGCGCGCTGACGCAGCGTACTCCTCTGCCACCATTGTTTTCCATTTATCGACAAATGCGTCGGCGATGCCGCCAGCCGTACTTCCGACCAATGAACCCCCGTTCCTATTTTTTTTACTAATCACAGAAGGTGGTGGCGAGTCACGTGCATCGATCGAATCGCGGGTAAATGCTGAGCGGACAGATGAAACGTCACCGTAGTCTTCACTGTAGTCATCATATATCGGGCGCTGAGGTAGGCGATTCACGTTTTTAATAACCAAGTTATTTCTATTGGGCACAGCTACACTGAACGCAGCTGCCTCTTCTGCCGACACACCTGCGATAGCGGTGGCTTTTGGAGCAGCCACAGCCAGACCGTTACGTCCAGACAGTGCCACAGCGTTCGGCTTGGATGATGCTACACCTCCTTCTCCGGCAATCGACAGGCCTACAAATATTGAGTAAAAAATATAGATGTATGTACATACATATGTAATTTCAGTAGTTCTATATAGTAAATCATTCAGGTACGAGTAAGTGCAAAACAAAATGGCGCAGTGAATCAGATTTTGTTTTAGTTATTTAGATTTTGGCTTGCACTTACTCCATGTATTTAAATATATATGTATTAGGGATGTCAATTTTCGGGGTTTTGTCGATCCCGGGATTTTTGGGATCTGAAAATACAATGCCGGGATTCCGGGATTGTCCCGAGATTCAGGCAGTTTTATTAAAACGGTGTTGCAAACGCGTAAAGCGCAACCAGTGATCGGACTTCAAAAAAAATTTGTGTGGTAGAATCTAGAAAAAAATGTGGTAGATTTCAAAGAAATGTGGTAGATCTCAGGTTCTGGATCTAACTTTGTACAAGAATTTAAAAATTCTGCAAGGTTTCACCTAAATTGCAAACATTTTAATTAGAATCTACAAAGAAAAAGATTTAATTTTAGTATAATAAAGTACAAGATTGAAGTTGAAGTGTAAAGGAATTGCTTTACATATATCAAGATATTCCATATCAAGATATTTTTCAAACATATTTTGAGAGATTTCTGCAACCTTGCGGAGTGCTGCTAGGTTTTCTTTCTACCGCATCACGATGTAGCTAATACAAATGTGGCACTTTCCAGAAACCTCTACTTGGGATTTGGCGGTTTTGACAATTCTCAAGTAAAAGTAAACAACGCCTTAGAAACTTTAGATGCACTGAAATTTGCTAATACTTGCACAAAAATCGCCGTTTTTTTAACATTTTCGCAATTAATTCTTTTTACAAATCATATATTTTGCAATTCAACACAATAAAACCCCGTTTCCCTCGAAAAATTTATTAGTGAGAAAACTTGCTATTTTACAGTTTATTTTATCCTCCCATTCGGCTTTGATGTAAGTATTTAGTGTTGGACAATTTTTGCTCTTAAAAATAAGAAAACTATGTCTATCAAAAATAAAACTACTCAAAAACGCGAATATGTGGTAGATTTCAGACCTTGTGTGGTAGATGTGGTAGATGCACAAAAAAGTCTGAGCACTGAGCGCAACCAATGTGGCAAAAAATGCTTGTTTTGCCTTTGAGACGGGATATTTGTGATAAAAATTTAATTGGCTAACAAAAAAATTGTTTCCCGGGATATTCGGGACCTTAAAAAGACCGGGATCCCGGGATCCTGGGATTGACATCCCTAATATGTATGTATGTTTGAATGTATATTGTGCATGTATGTATGTTTATGAACGTACCCACGGGTTTAGCTTCAGCAACAGAAGCATCCTTCTTCGGCGCTGTTACCGCTACTGTATCACTGACGTCTTCATACGGATCTTCGGTGTTTGGGGGCAGGAACTCCTCTTCATTGAACTGTTGTTCAGTTACTTCTTCGACTTTCTGGCTTTCGTTGCCAGATACCGTCTCGGTTGGTTGGAGTGGTTGTTTGGGCGGTAATTGAAAATCGGGTTGAAGGAGTAAACTGAAATCTTTAATCTGGCCACTTTGCTGCAAATTGGCCAGGTTCTGTGCCGCATGCCCCAATTCCAGTAAACTTTCGGCGTAGATCCGATTATCTTCATTGCTGAAAGATCCCTTACGTTTTGCAGTCTCTTGTATAGCGACCAAACGGGCCGCAGCTATTTGTATTCGGTTAAAATCCTTTTCGAAAGCGGTGGTCGCAGAAGCTATGTCCTGAGATTGACCATTACCTGTGGACATGGCTTTCTTTGTTAAAACTGGTACTACGCTGACCTGCGGGACAGCTGGAGCTATGATAAACGTATTGTCGTTGCCATCGTTTGTTCTAACCACTTGCAAGATTTGGCCACGCATACCACCATAATAAGGGAATGAGCTTGCCTCGAAAACTATGGGACCTTTTGAGCGCTGGCTATTAATTATTTTTGATAGGATGGATTCATAAAATAATTATCAAAAACACCACTCAAAACAATTTCAAACTACAAAGCCAAAAGGGTTCTAATAGAAAGCTTTCAGCATATAAATAAGGACTTCAACATAGGCAGGTAGGTAACTAGATGGCTTTATAATACAAATGCAGAAATTGAGCACTAAATAATTACAAATTTCTATTACATATTTATGTATGTATGTATGTTCTATATTTACAATTATTTACATCATAATGATCTTAACAAATAGAAGCTTATAAATACTTAACACATTTACATATGTATGTATGTATGTACATATGTACAACAGCAGAGTTTTACTTTATTTCCGCGAGTCCGAGTCCACCAAATCGAGCTCCAAGTCGGCCTGAGCATGCGCTTTGCCACCAACTCCGGCTATTGCCACAGACTCGGGATTGAAGTAAACGTTGGTGGGAACTCCCCGTTTTAGGAAGGCCTTCGAAATAGGTGTAGACACAGCCGTACCACCATTTCCTACCACAGCTTTTGAATGCGGTTCCAGTATTAATGTTGAAGTCTTTGTGATATCTTTTTGGGTGTGCGCTTGGTATGGAAGAAAGTAAGTACCGAAGGGTATTTCTGGTATTGTGCCCGAAGTGGCTGTGCGCCCGTGAGCTTCCACTTTTATTACTTCACCGTTTGTTGCTATCGGCTCCGATAATGAAGGTTTTGCCTTGCGCAGAGTCGATTGTTTTTTCGGTGAATCTGTGCTTTTTGATACCAACTCAGGCGGCGCCTGTGAAACTGTTGATAACTTAAGAGGCTTCTTGTACTTTTGCGCCGATATCGCCGAATCTATGTGTTGGCCAGGGACAAAAATTATTTCTTCAATCACGAATTCCGGGTTTATTTTCTGCACGGCTTTTAAAAACCGCATATCGCTTTTGAAATCCGCCCTACCTGTGAATGGGTGGGTGTTCATTACAAATTGCTTTTGGATTCCTTTCGCGACTCTGGGCGCTGATATTTCGATTGACTTTGGTTGACTCGATATTTTTTCTGTGATTTCTTCGTAATCTTGACCTCTTGCTTTATGAAGGAGTTTTCCGGTCACTTCTGCGCTTAAAAGTGGCAACGAAATGGAGGGTAAAGCTAAATTTCCAATGTACATTGGTTCATTAATCTGCAGATATCTATTTCTTTGAAAAACTTCCTTGGTTTCAAAATTTGGAATTTGATGAACTACGTTATCAAGTTTGAAATGCGCAGTTGGTGCCACAGCTAAGGCGAAGGGAGTTAATGGTGATGTTCGTATGACTTGAGGGTTCGGACGAATCGTCTCCGGCCACGTTTGAATGCTTGCAGTTTTCCAAAGGATGCTGGTATGTAGTTTATGTGAATGGTAGGAAGCCAATGGCGATGGATGGACGAAGGAAAATAAAGTTTCACAAATGTAAAAAAGGAAGAGAGTACGAACAGAATGAAGCATGAGTCCTTGTTAAAAATATTTACAATAACAATATATGGCAACACTACCTGAGGGAGGCAATGAATGATTTGTATTTAGCGTGCGAAAGATGGTAAGAGGCATTAATAATAATAGATAAGTGGTGTGATGTTAATCATGAAAATTTAGTGCTCAGTGTTGTCTAACTAATATGCATGCCAAAATGTAATGAAATGCTATATAATTTTTAAATAAATTAAATTTAATGTATAATTTGCGTTTTTATACAACTAATTATGAAATACGCACTAGATCTAACGCTTTTAATTAATTACAACAATAATTTATTCTCAGCATTTTTGTTCATAAGACGTAATCAGCTTCACCCGTCGCCGGTGAATAATAAACCGTCGGACCAATGGCAACAATCTTTCCTTCACGCGGAATACTTTGGTCGTTGAGGTTGGTTCTTTCGAGAGCATCTTTCAAATCCACGCTAGATGGAATGGCGATCACCTTGGCCCCCGGTCCAGCAATGGTCAGACTTCGTGGATGTGTAAGCGCAAAGCCACCGGGGCCCACAATAGCGGTGCCACCACTACCGGCGGTCGCCACACCGCCAGGACCCGCAATTGCGATTCCACCCTTTCGCACCTTCAAGCGTTGAATGATAATCCCGCCCTGCTTGATAGCTTCCATTTGTGTTGTTTGCTCTGCATTGTGTCGGTTGCCAAATATTTGTTTCTCCTCATGCTCAGCGGAACTGTCCTCTTCATCCTCTGAAGCACTGTTACTCGATTCGTCACTCCAATGATAGTCACTCCCTTTCTGCGGCGGTTGTTGCGGTTGTCCGATAACCTCATATAACGGTTGTACTGGCTGGTAGGCCTGTGTTGTTAGAAAAGGCTTGGGTGGCATTTGCAAAAATTGGTTTGACTCGTGTGTTGCCGCACTCGCATCTGGTTTGTTCTCCTGGCGAAATGGGAATTTGAATATATTTTGGAAGGCATTTTTTATCGCATTGCCAGCGGTAGAATTCTTTAGGTCAACTGGTCGAACGACGTTAGCAAGGTTGGGGATATTTAAGGTGCCAATATTTGGCACATTGTAAATATTCGAGTTTTGATTTGGGCTATTGTTCACTATAGGTTTACTATTGGTGTGGGTGTTGGTGTTTTGATTGGTAGCCGCTGGCTGGATTTGCTCCATCATTTCACTGACGCTAGGTTCCTTTTCCCTCAGCGGTTTAGGTATAATGCGTTTTCGAATAATTTGCGTTGTAACATTCGCACTTGAACCTCCGCCATTGCTGCTACTTGTTGCTGTCGTTTGTATTTTATAAGGCCTTTGAATGCCAATCACCTTTTCCTCCCTCGAACTATTTTCGGATGATTGCTCCTTTGCTTTTAATTTTATTTCAGAGCTTTGCGAATCTTCGTTCAACGCTACCGCGCTCGGTAAAAAAAATAGATGGCTTTTAGCTGGGTATTTCGATTTTGAATCTGTCGATGACTTGTTCTTTTGAATAGCTTTGCCATAGAAATCGCCAATATCACCGACAATTTTATATCCCTTCATACGATATTCTTCAGGTGCGTTCATATGAATATACTCATCTTTACTGAGTCTGTAGAGACGTACCGGTATTAGGAAATGTGTACGCAATTTAACTTGTTTGTCGATTTCTGGCAGTGTTGGTTGGGCTGCCTGGTTCGGGTGGAGAATGTGTGTATTGTATTTTGTTTCAATCTTTTTGGCGTGGTGATGCTTGGGCGGAGCTGCATCGAAGGCAATGGATTTAGAATTTGTATAGGGAGTAATGTATTGACTGTGCAGCGGAACGGATCTTATAGATGGAATTAGTATTGTCCCGCCATTCATGCCAGATGTTTGATGATTTTGCTGATGGAAGGGTTGCATTGCCGGTTTGGGAAACAGATACTGGCTTGAGTCCAGAATAGGTGGAAGCTTGGACTGTTCAGGTTGTTTCCGAACATAACCCAATGCGTGGTTAATCTTCTCTATTTCTTGCAGGATGCGTTGAGCCTCATCAAACTTGGCCACTTCTGTGTCGGAACTATTACTGGTGGGATCCGTGCGGGACGTCGAATCTTCATCAGGGAATTTCACCAGTCTTTGTTTTGCGATTCTGCGAACGAAAATTGCAAGCAATGGGTGGGAACTTATAAAAACTAAGAAGCTGAGAATAATTCTAACAATGGTTTGTTGGTTGGTGTAAAAACAAATGCCCTTTGATAAGAGTTAATTTGTACGAAGTATCGTTTAATTATTGTCGAATATGCACGCATGAATCGGCTGTGATGGTATTAGTTTAGTCACATTGTAGTGGGTGAGAAATTAGACTTTGCAATATACGCAATATTGATGATTTTTCTTTCTTAAACGAGATGCAGTCACACATATGTATGTATGTATGTATGTATGTATGTATGTATGCATGTATGTAGTAATGGCCATATGACAGTTTCAAAATAGCGATTCAAAGCAAATGCGTTGAAATATGTAAATATATTTACTATGTGAAGAAGACTCATGAAATGTTATATATAAAATAATAAAGATCAAAACAATTCGAGGTAAGCACAGAAATATTTAGGCATCACACTATTTGAAGTACTTTCAGGATAGCTGCGATAGTTCAATCTCTATAATTGGCTAGCTGTACTTACTCGACACCTACATCGCTGACCTCGACCGGCAACGCTTGCGCTGCACAAAATACGGCAATAATCGTCGAAAATATAAGCTGAAAAGAAAACAAACTTTTTAGTTAATTTATGCTTTTCATCTTCTATGTGAAAAATTTTACATATTTTATGTAATCTACATATGTACCTACATATACCCTGCAGGGACCCCCCGGACTAATGAATCAAATTTCTAGTTCCGTACTAGGTCTTTATCGCCAAAAAGGAACTAGACCGATAGGAACTAGATCCCCACCAGTCCAAAATCGGCGGAAAGTGGTACTTTTAAAGAACTAATTTTTTTCAGTTTTTTTCACTAGAAATCTATATCTAAAGTGACGAAGTTAGAAATGGTTCGGAACTATAGAAAAAGGGATGCAGCGGGGGGCTTGCTTACTTTACATAGATATGTATTCGGCGGCTTTTTCGTTCAAATGCGCTTATATTCTGTGCTTCGCAGATGCTGTTTCATAGCTTGGTAATACAAAACTAAAATTTGTGTTAGCATTTCAACATTTTGGGACCGTCTGGAATCTAAGAAATAACAGCGAGCACCTCTGCAAACTCAGCTACAGCTAAAGGTATGTAAACGTACATTTCGATTTTAGAACTGGTTCGGAACTATAAAATTTAGGACTAGTTCGGAACTATCGAAAAAGGGATGCAGCGGGGGGCAATTGACACTTCCTAGGACATCGCCGTGTTAAATTCGCCAGTTGCTTGCATGCAAAAGAGATTTATCGCGAACCAGTACTCGGTCTAAATGTACTAGAAGCGCACCAGTTCAGAGCTAGAGATTTTCCCCACAGGGTATATATATTATACATGCATAAGTATTAGTACTAATGGAAGCAAAAATATGCTTACCATATTTTTAACACACACATGTGCGAACATACATATGTACATATATACACTCCGCTTCACTCGAATATTTAATTTGAATTTCTTCAAAAAGGAGGATTTTATTTTTACATGAATTTAACCTTCGACCAAGTTGTACTTCGAGGTTCGCGATGTCGCTTACCAAGAATCTGTGGGCAATGACTCCGAAATATACATATGTATTTAGCTAATTCCAATTTCAAATTAAGTTCCCATAGTCTATAGAGTTTTGTAGACTACTAGAAAATTTAGTTTTCCAAATCCAACCTATTCATTATTACTGTCACAATTTTTATAAATTTTTCGGATTTCATTTTCTTCGGACACTAAAAGTGGAAGAAGCAAGAAGCCTTTGAATTAATTGAAAGGCTTCTGGAACAGTCTTTCTAACTGTTTTTTTTCCATACATTTACTTAAAATGAGATACACCCCGCTTCACTAGAATAGGTACACATATTTTCCTCAAGATCCAAGCTTATATCTGGACTTGTCTGCATTAGAGGAGTTTCTTTTCGATCTCATTTTGAAGAGTGATTAATTTAGAAGAGAAGTGGAGAAAATTAATAAAACGGATTTATTGCTTTGGATTTTTTTTCCACTTTTTATCAAACTACACGAAAATTATGCTTATTATTTTGATTCACTTGAATATACGCCTTATGTGTATAGCAAAGTTATTTAAATTTCACTTATAACCTCTCTAAGAATTTAAAGGATAATTAGAACTATAACAGAGCAAGAATGGACGAAGCAGGCGCACTTTCATCTGCGTAAAATGTATAAATGGAGGGATTCACGGCGCCAGGACTTTGCAGGCGATCTGTTGATGACAAATCTGAAGGAAATGCAAATGCCTTTGACAGCTGAAGCTGGCTCACAGCATCGCAGGAAAAAAAA